ACCGGATATTTCTCCGATCCCGGAGGAACCTAGCCTTACATGGGTACCAGTACTCGTAAGAAGTAAATGCAGCAAATTGTTCCAACAAATAAAATAGTCAACTATCAATTGCTCTAATTATTTCAACATACTGTGCGACATATGAGTCCTGTCCCGATCTTTAAAGAGCGACAGTCAAGTGTGATGATACTGTACGGCGAAATACCACTGCTAATATTGATGGGACCTTTCCATCATTCTAGAGGAAGACATGTGAACTGCACAGCCCATGGCGAAGACGGGTGTGACTAAAAAGACCTGCTTAGGTTACGAAAGGCCCTCCACCATTACCGCATCCGATTTCATGGCAACTGATCCATCTCATATATTCAACGATATATATTTCACTGCAATTGCTCCATCTCATATATTCAACAATATATATTTCACTTCAATTGCTCCATCTCATATATTCAAAGATATATATTTCACTTCAGTTGCTCCATCTCATATATTCAACAATATATATTTCACTGCAATTGCTCCATCTCATATATTCAACGATATATTTTTCACAGCAATTGCCTCATCACATATATTCAACGATATATATTTCACTGCAATTGCTCCATCTCATATATTCAACGATATATATTTCACTTCAATTTCTCCACCACATATATTCAACGATCTATGTTTCACTTTAATTGCTTCACCGCATATATTCAACGATCTATCTTTTACTTCAATTGCTCCACCGCATATATTCAACGATCTATATTTCACTTCAATTGCTCCACCGCATATATTCAACGATCTGTATTTCACTGCAATTGCTCCATCTCATATATTCAACGATGTATATTTCAATTTAATAGCTTCACCACATATATTAAACGATCTATATTTCACTTCAATAGCTTCACCGCATATATTCAACAATCTATATTTCACTTCAATTGCTCCACGGCATATATTCAACGATCTATATTTCACTTCAATTGCTCCACCGCATATATTAAACAATCTATATTTCACTTCAATTGCTCCACGGCATATATTCAACGATCTATATTTCACTTCAATTGCTCCACCGCATATATTCAACGATCTATATTTCACTTCAATTGCTACACCGCATATATTCAACGATCTATATTTCACTTCAAATGCTTCACCGCATATATTTAAAGATTTATATTTCACTTCAATAGCTTCACCGCATGTATTCAATGATCTATATTTCAATTCAATAGATTTACCGCATATATTCAACGATCTATTTTTCACTTCAATTGCTCCACCGCATATATTCAACGATCTATATTTCACTTCAAATGCTCCACCGCATATATTCAGCGATCTATATTTCACTTCAATTGCTCCACCGCATATATTCAATGATCTATATTTCAATTCAATAGATTTACCGCATGTATTCAACGATCTATATTTCACTTCAATAGATTTACCGCATATATTCAGCGATCTATATTTCACTTTAATTGCTCCACCACATATATTCAGCGATCTATATTTCACTTTAATTTCTCTATACAACGAACCCCGTCTCACAGTCCCAAGTCTAAACCCGTCTACAGATAACCTCTTCTCTCTCTCTCTCCCTCCCTCTCTCTCTTTCTCTCTCTCCCCCCCCTCTCTCTCTCTCTCTCTCTCTCTCTCTCTCTCTCTCTCTCTCTCTCTCTTATCCTCTCCAGGGGATCCGGCCTAAATGCATGAGAAACGCAAGACGGACACATAGTCAGACAGCAACTGGTAACAGCAGAACTGGAACTCAACAGGTACTATGTTGATGATGATGATGATGATGACGATGTTGATGAAGATGATGATGACCAAGACGATCATGATGGTAAGAATGCTAAGGATGCTGATGTCTATGACAATGACGATGATGATAATAATGATGATAATAATGATGACGATGATGATGATGATTACGATGATTATGATGTTGATGATGATGATGATGATAATGATGATGAAGATGACACCGATGATGATGATGGTTGTGGGAGCTATGATGATGATGATGAGGATGATGATGATGATGATGATGATGAAGATGACACCGATGATGATGATGGTTGTGGGGGCTATGATGATGATGATGATGATGATGATGAAGATGACACCGATGATGATGATGGTTGTGGGGGCTATGATGATGATGCTGATGATGATGATGATGATGATGATGAAGATGACACCGATGATGATGATGATGATGATGATGATGATGATGATGATGATGATGATGAAGATGACACCGATGATGATGATGATGAAGATGACACCGATGATGATGAAGATGACACCGATGATAATGATGATGAAGATGACACCGATGATGATGATGATGAAGATGACACCGATGATGATGATGGTTGTGGGGGCTATGATGATGATGATGACCAAAAAACCTACCAAGAGGAGACAACTCATCATCGTCAACAGGATCAGCAATAACTAAAATATCAACATTCATGCGTCAACTTACGGTAAGATGATGTTGAGACAACTCCGGGGACATCTTCTCCGGCAGCCCGAGGCAGCAAGGCGGCCCCCACAGACACCAGTACGGGCCACAGACACATCCAGAGGAACGACAACAGAGGGCCGGACAGCTTACATTCTTTTATTCGTTTCTTTCGTTTCTTTCTATAAGTCAACATTTTTATTGTCAAGGTCGTTCTGGCAGTTATTGAAAGATGATGATGATGTTGTGCTAGTCCCCCTGTCTGCTGAAGTTGCCGCCGCCTGATGTTGTTGCCCGAAAGCGTGTGGCGTGAGTCGACATAAGCCAGCGCGACCGACTTGATCGTCTCCTTACTGCCCAACTCAGGGAGACTGCTAGTGGGACAGCGGTAGAGACATTTATCAGTTCATGTTGCTGTTGAAGCGAGCGGATGTAAAACTCGATGTGTAGGCGACGTCAGCATAACCACACCAACCTACCCCACTCGCCAACACCCCAGCCACGTCCCTTCACGTTTGATTGGCGTGTAGTATTGGAAAATAGTTTGATTGTGAGCCCTGTGTGTACTTAGGTACACCCAATAACATCGTGACGGTTATCACAGCGGTAATAACCGGAAGTTGCACTGAACATAAACTCTGTACTACCATTCATAATCTTTTGCAGCATTTCCATCCCTTGAGACTCGTGACTGCAGATATCACATCTTCGCCAACATATTTTCCAGCTTTTCGAAGTTGGAAACACGAAGATGTGTCCTTGCTTCATGTGCTCCAACAATGTAAACTGTATGCTGCTAGAAAAGAAGCAGTCTGGTCTGGTCCAACCTCAAAATATGACTGACTGTATGCTGAAAGGGTAGATATGGAATGGACGATAGCTTCAGTCTAGGCTACTGGCCTCGCGATGTACATTTTCTGACAGAAGGGTCAAAGAAGAAAATGAAGACCCCCTCAAGTAATCTCGCTGTGATTCCACAGGATCCAAATAACCAGAAAGCATGCCGACATTGTGGCAGAGATGTAACAAGTAGACATTCGGGTACTAGAACTTTCCCAGACAACTAGGTAGACTGACACATGCTTACCTATACAGCACTTCAGGGTACTCCAGACTAGTTGTTGAAGCTGCCGTTGCGGGTATGTGAATTGTAGCTTCCTTGGGGTGTGTGGGGGGAGAGGGGAGGGTTTACACACACATACATACAAAGAGAGAGAGAGAGAGAGAGAGAGAGAGAGAAAGAGAGAGGGGGATATATATATATATATATATATATATATATATATATATATATATATATATATATATATATATATATATATATCCCCCTCTCTCTCTTTCTCTATAATGGTTAGGTATCGACATGGCAAGAGCTTCTTTCAGCGATCTGAACAATTGATGAAACCCTAAATTATAGTTGTATTCACCGATTTAATCATCATCAAGCAGCATGTCCTGCACAGAACGCCGCACTCGCCCTGCACGCTTGAAAGTCTCTCTTTCTCTAGCAAATTCTCTAGCCCTATGTGCTTCCATAACCAATGCCTGCTTAATGTCCTCTATCAACATTCACGGAGGTTAGCCTGTTTCCGGAAACTGCGATCTCCATCACTGTTCTCTTCAAGCCATCAGGTTGTTTAACATCTCCGAAATAGCCCAGCTTTCAAGACACGATGCTGTTTATGAGCCTGTTCTCCCGCCTCATGAACTTTCAAACTCAAGGAGTCACTTATATCCTGTGCCCATCTACGTGTCGGTCGGCCCCTGCCCATCCTTTCTGGTACCATGCCTTCTGCTATAATTTTTTTTCCAATCCTTCGTGGCGCTTGATATGACCAAAATATTTCAGCTTTCGAGAAAGAATGCTGTTTATTAGCCAATCTTCCTTGATGTTTAGATCTTTTAAGATGTCAATATTTCTCATCTTTGACATGCAGTGTAACGAAACGATAAAGATAACAAGACAAAGAGAATAGCAAAATATTGAGCATATCATAGTGAGAGATGGAGTGGTTCGCACGCAATGGAAAACCAATAGAGTGAGTAAACTAAGAAGTCGAACAGAAACCCTCAGACCAGAGTTTCCCAAACTTCTCTTTGTGTCGGCACCTTTTCCCAATTAAACATTTTCCACCGCGCCCTAACCTAAGTAAAAGTGTGACGATTCGTAAGTGAAACTCGTGTATCTTCGAATATTTCGCGGCGCCCCTGTGAAGAAGTCGCGGCTCTCAGCTGCCGCGACGCACACATTCGGGAATCGGATAATCCAGTCATCTCCTTGTGAGATGCAATTTTTCGTTATTTGAAGCCCTACTCTGGCTCTTGCCAGGGGCCGCAATTTAACCTGTCTATAAATATGGTCTAATTCTAATGACTGAACGCAGTTTCTGGGACCTCTCCACGGGTGATCCTCATCCACATGGTGGCGCTTTGTGTCATCGAGTATTTATCGCTTGTGTGATGCCCTGGTGGGGTAAAATTCTACTACTACAACATTTGGAATCACTGCCTTAGACGCAAATTTGTTGAGAAAGTTGGACTGGATTGCATCCATGAAATTGAGAAGACTGCACACGATAGAAGGTAACAGAGGTTGATCTATGTGATATATAATGGCACGATAGAAGGTAACAGAGGAGTGGAGTGGTTGCTCTATGTGATGCATAATGGCACGATAGAAGGTAACAGAGGAGTGGAGTGGTTGCTCTATGTGATGCATAATGGCACGATAGAAGGAAACAGAGGAGTGGAGTAGCTCTATATGATGTATAATGGCACGATAGAAGGAAACAGAGGAGTGGAGTAGCTCTATATGATGTATAATGGCACGATAGAAGGAAACAGAGGAGTGGAGTAGTTCTATATGATGTATAATGGCACGATAGAAGGAAACAGAGGAGTGGAGTAGTTCTATATGATGTATAATGGCACGATAGAAGGAAACAGAGGAGTGGAGTAGCTCTATATGATGTATAATGGCACGATAGAAGGTGACAGAGGAGTGGAGTGGTTGCTCTATGTGATGCATAATGGCACGATAGAAGGTAACAGAGGAGTGGAGTAGTTGCTCTATGTGATGTATAATGGCACGTTAGAAGGAAACAGAGGAGTGGAGTAGTTGCTCTATGTGATGTATAATGGCACGATAGAAGGAAACAGAGGAGTGGAGTGGTTGCTCTATGTGATGTATAATGGCACGATAGAAGGTAACAGAGGAGTGGAGTGGTTGCTCTATGTGATGTATAATGGCACGATAGAAGGTAACAGAGGAGTGGAGTGGTGGCTCTATGTGATGTATAATGGCACGATAGAAGGAAACAGAGGAGTGGAGTGGTTGCTCTATGTGAAGTATAATGGTACCACAGGAGGAAGTTGTTGGGGTTTGAACGGGTTTGCTATCCAGGATGCGGTTACCCCAAAGTACATGAGTGGACAAACTGCAGGTAGCCACCCAGAGGATACAAAGAGTCAGCCCATTAGTTAACTTGCAATAATTATATATCATCTTGCTTCTATATCGGCTCTGCGGCTGAGTCGATGCGAACGCTTCGTAATGCCGGGTTCGATCCCAGCGCGGGCTATGCGCCTTACGTTGGTTTCGTCAAAGGTATAAAGAAAGCCGACCGTCCAGGAAGCAATGGTAAACAACTGGACGTAAATTTGCCTAGAAAAACCACACAACGGAAAGGGGCTGTTAGGGTTGGTTCTGCAACGTCCTGTAAAGGATACGCAACTAACCTTGCTTCTATAGGCACAATTGTTGGCACAACCCGCCAAGTACAGTACGGGCACTATTCTCACAGAAAGATATTGAACCTACTGTGAGAATTTAGCAAATTTACAATCATGTTTGTACATTAAAAAGAGTAATGAGGATGTCTTGAATCTGACTCGCAAAGAAATATGATTGTCCACATCAGAAAGAGACAATCTACATTCTTTAGTCATGTGATGAGAAGGAGAAAAACTGGTGTACATCGTGATCGTAGGAAAGTTGGAGGGAAGGAGAGGCAGAGGGAGCCCGAGAAAAAAAGATGCTAGGCAGTTCGACATCACAGCAAGAAGGATCATCTGTGTCAGAGTTGATTGAAGTACACGAGTCAGAAACTTGTGAATTCACATGACTACCAGTGCCACATTTTATAAACATTAAGAAGAAGATTGCTGGAATAAATTGTTTAAAAACTAGCCACAACAGATAAGTCAAATTTTTTGGCCATATTAAAAGAATGAAACTTTTTATAAAATCTATACTACATAACAACAACAACAACAACAACAAAAACAAAATAAGTAAGGGAGCGACCAAGAGGTAGACAACGATACAAATGGGAAATAACATCAGGGGATTAGCGAACACCATACAAGAGTGGTGTACATTCTATGCAAAAAACAGAGGGTGTTCGAGATCCATTGCAGCCGACCTTCATTGTGGAGACGGCACCCGATTTGTTGATTTATTGAGGGACATATCAGCAATCATCGCCCATCTGTGAACATCATGGCTGTACCTAGTCGGGTCATTACTCTATCTCAACTATAATAGATTTACCTTTTGTTGGAACGAACAAACTTTATTTTCAAAGAGTCACAAATTGGGCACGCAGGCCCGTTTAACATTTGGTATTTCCAAACACCCATCTCTCACACAGCACTTGTATTTTATCAGTAAAGCGTGTATTGTTCAAATACTAGTATGCATCCTATGAATTTCAAGAAAAAACAAAACACAAAATTGGGTGGTAAACTGCTTGTGCACACTTGCGCGTGTACACATACACCCACATACACACCCTATACATACGTACATGCATACATACATACGTTCATACATATACACATTTATACACACACATTAACCCACACATACATACATGCATGCATGCATAGACACAATCGTACAGGCATCCATGCGTACAGACAAATAAAAGCATATACAGACACACACGCACATGCAAACACACACATACAGACATAGAAACATACACATTCACACACACAGACTCACACACACATACTGAGAGATGCATTCACACAAAGAGACATACACAGACACCCACAAACTCACACATACTTACATAAGGCATAGATGCATACAGACACACACAGGTACACAGACACATACATGTACGCACACTCACAAAGGTTTATCCAGGTATCGGAATTTGTTCTGTTGCATTGACATCAAGGATGTCA